TTAAATACGCAAATTCAACCTTCAATTATCTATGCATGAACAGTTTCAATATAATCTTGCCTTAATATACTTTAAAGTACTTATTTAAAAAATAAAAGCATTGGGCATTATCCCAATCGCGTGCGCTTAAAAAACTAGTATATATATATATATATATATATATATATATATATATATCCCTGAAGGGCAAATTCCTGAAGGGCTTACGAGTCTATACGAACTGGCTTCGTTGAACCTATCAAGAAACCATTTCAGTGGTAACATCCCTGAGACGATTGGGCAGTTGACACAATTAAATTCTTTGGATTTGTCCAATAACCGCCTTTCTGGTAGAATTCCTATAAGCATGGCGAATATATACTTTCTTGAGTACCTGGATTTGTCAAATAACGATTTGTGTGGTGTCATTCCAAAGGGTACTCAATTACAGAGCTTTGATGCTTCAGCATATGGAGGGAATCCACAACTGTGTGGACTACCCACCCTGAATGTGTGCCCTGGAGATGAAATCCTGCCGAGATCACCAGCAGGCACTCAAGGGAATAAGCATGATGACTGGAAGGAGAATATGGGTTTCTACATCAATTTAATCCTTGGATTCGCCATTGGATTTTGGGGAGTGTGTTGGGCATTGCTACTCCGAAGTTGTTGAGGATTTCAATTTTCATTTCTTAAACAGAAGGAACACCTTTTTGCCGCAACGGTTATTGTTCCTGTAGTGTTCTTCCAATTAGAAAGTTTTCTGCATGTTCTCCTGCTGCAATGTACTATATTATTTCCTTCTACTATTTTTTTTTGGAAACAATTACTTCCTAGGAACACTTTGACCTTGGTCTATTTTTACAACATTGTAAATACTTACATATATAAAAAAAAATAAAATTTAATATATAAACTCACTATTAACTTAGACTTTTAGTTAAAACGGACACATTGATACATACCATTGCAGTTCTGCTTACTCATAATTAGGGATGACCACGGTTCCGGTTCCGGTTCAATTCCGGTTCGAAATCGTCGGTTCCGGTTCCGTGGATGGCGAAACCAGAACCGAAACCTTATAGTAAGGTTCCGGTTCAGAACCGGCGGTTCCGGTTGGAACCGCCAGTTCTAACCGAAATTATTTAAAAAAAAAATTAAAAAAACACTATAATATTTATTTTTTCCGGTTTGTTTCAAGATTTTACAAACCTTAACCGGAACCTTATAGGTTTCGGTTAAGAACCGGAACCAGAACCGCACAGACGGTTCCGGTTTGCACAGTCACGGTTCCGGTACGGAACCGTGGTCATCTCTACTCATAATGTTAGGCGTCACACGGCATTTGTTATTCACCATACCCAGGAGGCTCGACTCCTAGTAGTTACAAATTATAAATTAAAATGTATTACTCCATACATTTATCAACGGAATGATCAATGAAAATGAAGGTTAATGTTGCGCAATGCTTGAGGACCTCCATATTCATGCGAACGTCATCCAAACTCCTGGACATAATCAATCATAGTTTAAACAAATGTTAGCGTTAAATCTTCCTTTGATCCAATAAATTATGTCCTGTTTGGTAAAATAATTAGCCAATAGGTCAATTTTAATTTATTTGACCACTATAAATTGTTTGACTTGGTTTAAAAATCAATATAAGTGTTTGGTTAATTAGCTTTTTAATTTGTACATACTAAAATGCTAAAATTCAAAAAGCTACTCAAAGTAACTCTTTCAATTAGCTTTTTGAGAAAAGACATTATACCAAACAACTATCAGCTAACAGCTAATTTATCAAACATCTTTCTACAACTAATGTTATATATCAACTAGTTATACCCTCTAATTAACTCAATCAGCTAACAGATAACAGCTATCAGCTAACAGTCATTTACCAAACAGGGCTATATGTTTCAATTGTCATTTAGATTTTCTTTAACCTGTGTTTCTACTCTCTAAATGTCAATACCACAGTTATCTAAGAGATTTAACCTGTGTTTCTGCTCTCTAAATGTCAATACCACAGTTATCTACGAGATTATTATTATTATTATTATTATTATTATTATTATTATTATTATTATTATTATGGTTCGGTCTAGTTTTTAACAAACCTTTTAATCGAACCGTTCGATTTATAAGAATCCCAGACCATTCGAATTTTCGGTATATTACTAGTTCGGTTCGATTTGAAAAAATTTAACCGAATTGCCCATCCCTAATAATTTAGAGTAAAAAATTGAGTTAGTTATGTGCGTTCGTTCAAAGATGACAGTATTTTCTAAACAGGGAGTATCAAATACAGTTTTAAATTGAAATTGGATTGAATGACATATATTCAAATAATTTTTTTTTTCAAATAACTTGCCTAATCTACACTAAAGTAGGCAAATTTTAACACAATTAATTAATAAAGAAAACAAAGGTTGGGCGAGTCCTAGAGTTGTGACGTCATCTTACTTGTGGAATGTGCAATATTCTCTTATCGAAACATGATATTAACTATATTGACCAGGAAACAATTGCACAAAAGTATAAAATTGATTTTATATATATATATATATATATATATATATATATATATTCCTACTCAAAGTTAAGAAGACAAAATATGTAGAAAAGTAAAAGTTAGGCGATGCTTCATTCCTTCGTTGTCCAATATAGCTCGAAATTCTACTAAAACTTTCAAATTCTAATGTCACACTTTTACTTCCTAATATAACAACAATGATAAGTTATTGTCATTATATGAGTCTAAGAGAAATATTTATCTCAAAAATTTAAAGTGAGTAAAATTTAGAAATAAAACATTAGAACTTGAGAGTTCACTATTAATTTCCTGTAACTCATTCTAAGAAGACCCGCAAGTGAATAGAAGACTAATTCTTTTATGTAATTTGTCACAAACAATACATATTCCTCAAAATTTATGATAAACTTTGTCAATTGATTACGTCTGAAGTGAATGGTTTTCATTAATGATAATATATATTTAATATAAATATAAATTGGTGATATTTTTAATTATTATATTAATATAACTTAGTATATTAGTATAAATCTCAACAAAATTAAATAATATTACTTCTGAACAAGAATGTAAATTATGTTGAGAGTTAATACCCAAAATTATCCTCGACTATAGTAGTTTTTCTCAATTTTATCATAAACGACTTTGGTGTCATAAAATAGTCTCATACTTTTGTGTTATCGCTCAATATTGTCCTCCGTTTGTTAATCCGTCAAAAGGGTATTGAGTACAGGGATAATTTAGTAATTTCAAATTTAGGTGGTTTCCTTTACTCCACCGGACTAACGTTGAATTCAGTATTTTTCTCTACGATAACAACATTTCCAGTACTCTTTCGCCGTCTGTATGCAATCTCCCGCGGCTCCAAATCTGGTTTATCGAACAACTCCATATCCGGAGTGTTCTATAGGGACCTCAGAAACTGCCGGCAACTGCAACGGTTAATTCTGGAAAGAACAAACTCTCCGGTGAGATTCCCGCCGGAGTTTTCCCGGAGCTAGCGAATTTGGAGCAGCTCGATCTGTCATCCAACTCATTCAATGGGTCAATTCCGGACGATATCGGTGAATTAAAATCAATTGCAAGAACTTTAAATTTACCCTTCAATCATTTCACTGGAATAATCACCAAATCCTTAAGCGATTTACCGCTCACTGTTAGCTTTGCTCTTAGGGATAACAATTTAACAGGAGAAAATCCCCAAACTGGTTCATTTGCGAATCAGGGCCTCGTATTGCCAAACTGTTTGTAATGCAATTAATGGCATGGCTTTGGACTATTCAAGTTTAGGGTGTGTAATTAGTCAATGTCGCTCTCTCAAATGACACTTTGAAGTTGTGTCCATTACTTTTATTCCTACATCAGTGAATCGGTTAGCTCATGTCATGGCTAAAGCTAATAGTTCGTCTACTGGTCCTAATGTTTGGGTTGATTCTGTTCCTTCTTGTATTAACTCTTTGGTTTAATAAAAAGTTGAAGCTTTGGTTGTCAAAAAAAATAAAAATAAAAATAAACTTAATGAGTTAATGCAATATGGAGTCTTCTGAGTATAGTGATTTTGTCACGTCTAGTCCTAAATTTTTAAATTAATCATCCGTGGTTATTCGATTTTCAAATTGTTATCATCCGTGATCTAAGTTATCAGCCAAATGCCCAAATGGTCCTTCAACTTTCAAAATTTAACTAGCCGTGGTTCTCCTGGAAGGACCATGTGTGGTTAAAATTTGATAGTTAAAGGACCACAGATGGTTAAATTTGACCGCGGATGGTAACAATTTGAAAGTCGAAGGACTACGGGTAATCAATTTTAAAGTTCCGAACTAAAAGTGGCAAAATCACTATACCCGAAAGAACACCAATGGTATTAACTCTAATGTTAATTGATTCAGAAAGAGAAGTCTATTGCAGATTTGCAGATGCTTTAGGACTAATGCAGTTAGGAAGTATATATATTCTCTGCCGCCTAACTTTCAATTCTTAATTTGGTAGTCGCCCCAGGACGGCTCAATCTTTAACTTAGGAATTCTTATTTATTTATTTTTCTATGCATTCTGCCAAGCGCCAACTAACTATGCCGTAATGCTACATGCTACGAATTTTGTATACTCATTATATTTTGTACTTATCTGAGAATAGAGTTAAGGTTTAATTTGAAGCTGAATAAGGAGTATCCAAATTTTGGCTTTTAACATTAGCCGCATGTGGAATATAATGTTTTGTACGTGCTCCACATTTGTTAGGATCGGGCTTACCACTATGCCAAAAACTATAGCTCACAGTGAAGATATAACATTATTTTCTTATATACTGCCACCACATTTTCGAGAGGTTTGACCCTTCACCAGTTTCTGCCCAATAATCCCCTAGCCACCGATTTAGTCCAATCCAGCTTCCGCCCAACAATATTAATATTAAGCCTAAGCTTGAAAACAGTCAATAACTCTGCAGTTTCAGAAGAATTACTTGCTGCAATATAATTGAGAAAATGATTACACAGTTGAGGCCTTTTGAGTGCACACAGTTTTATATGACTCTAACTTGGCTTCTCGTCGTGGGTAGCATGCTCGCGTTTAGCTTGGCAGGCAGAAATGAGAATCCAAGTTGCATAGAAAAGGAGAGGCAGGCTCTTCTCAGGTTCAAACATGGCATCATTGACACACACAACAGCCTTTCTTCATGGAACAGTGAAGATGGGAATTGCTGCAGATGGGTGGGAATCAGCTGTGACAATGAAACTGGATATGTTGTCGCGCTTGATTTGGGATGTACATTATATTGCTATAAGATTCTTGCAGGTGAGTTAAGTCCTTCCTTGCATGAACTCTCGTATTTGAGTCATCTTGACCTCTCTGGGAATAATTTTACTGCAAACATTAATTTTCTTAATGAGCTAGGAAATCTTTCCAACCTCAAATACCTTGATCTTAGCAGTAATGCACAGCTGAAAGTTGACACTTTGGAATGGGTTTCTGGTCTTTCTTCTTTAACATATTTGGGCATGAATGATTTGGACCTTAGCTCCATTGCTGATTGGGTTCAGTCAATTAAGAAGCTTCCTATGCTGAAAAACTTACATTTAAGTCACTGTCAGCTGCAAACTCCTGGGATTTCAAATTCTTCTTTGAGGTTTCTTGGGCACTTGAAAACCTTGGACTTATCAAACAACAATCTCACTGGAAATTTTTTGCACATTCTGGAAGTGTTTAATGTTGGCAGTAATAGTCTTAATCTCACTCTTCTCGATCTATCATTTAATTCTCTAGAAGGTGTAATCTCCGAATCATTTCTGTCATGCCTCCCAAATCTGAAGCTACTTGGCTTGTCTCACAACTTGTTGACACTTAGTCTCTCCTCAGCCTGGGTTCCACCCTTACATCTCAAAGTGATGAAATTAAGTTCTTGCAACTTGGGCCCAAACTTTCCTGCTTGGCTTCACACTCATATGGATTTTGAGTATTTAGATATCTCTTGTAATGGAATCAGAGACTTCATTCCTGACTGGTTTTGGAATTTGTCTTACGAATTACGATATCTAAATCTTTCTTACAATAGCCTTAGCGGTACACTTCCAAACACAACGTTAGACCTCGAGAATAACTGCCAGATAGATCTTAGTTACAATGAGTTTGCTGGTGAGGTAATGCCCTTCTTTTCTAAGGCACGTCTGCTGAATCTTTCCAAAAATAAGTTTTTTGCAGCCACATCTTTTCTGTGTTCTTCCATGGTAGATTCAAGGTTAGCATACGTAGACCTCTCTGACAATCTGTTATCAGGAAAGCTGCCTGACTGTCATATGAATTTCAGTAACTTGTTTATTCTTAATCTGGCAAACAATAACCTTTCTGGGAAAATTCCCAGATCATTAGGCTCTTTAGAATTCCTGACATCACTAGATCTAAGCAACAATAGTTTCAGTGGTGAGCTGCCATCATCCTTGCAGAACAAAAGTAATTTGCTATTTCTTGACTTGGGAGAAAACCAATTATCCGGAAGAGTTCCGGGCTGGAATGGACAAAACAACCTGGTATTTCTCCGCCTGCAATCGAATAAGTTCCATGGAGAAATACCATCAAGCCTGTGTCAATTCTCAAGCATTCAAGTTTTGGATCTCTCTCTCAACAATTTATCTGGTGAAGTTCCTTCATGTTTCAGCAATTTCACTGCAATGTCTCGTAAAACCAGTTTGAATAATTATTATTACGAGTTTTACCACTCCATCCTTAGCACTGAAGATAATGGGTACAAATTTGAGGTTGATTACAGAGATGGTGCCTGGTTTGCCTGGAAGGGATTGAAGGCTGAATATCATAATACCCTTGCCTTGCTTAAACTTATTGATCTATCTGCAAATCAACTGACAGGGCAAATTCCTGAAGGGCTTACCATTCTATACGAACTGGTTTCGTTGAACCTATCAAGAAACCATTTCAGTGGTAACATCCCTGAGACGATTGGGCAGTTGACACAATTAAATTCTTTGGATTTGTCCAATAACCGCCTTTCTGGTAGAATTCCTATAAGCATGGCGAAGATATACTTTCTTGAGTACCTGGATTTGTCAAATAACGATTTGTGTGGCGCCATTCCAAAGGGCACTCAATTGCAGAGCTTTGATGCTTCCAAATATGGAGGGAATCCACAATTGTGTGGACTACCCACCCTGAATGTGTGCCCTGGAGATGAAATCCTGCCGAGATCACCACCTGGCAGTGGAGGGAATAAGCATGATCACTGGAAGGAGAATATGGGTTTCTACATCAGTTTAATCTTTGGATTCGCCATTGGATTTTGTGGAGTGTGTTGGACATTGCTACTTCGAAGTTCTTGTGGATTTCAATTTTAAACACCGTTTTGGAGCAACGGTTTTTATTCATGTGTTCTTCCATTAAAAAGTTTTCTGCATGTTTTCCTGCAGCAAAGTAGGACATTACTTCCTTTTACTATTTTTTTTTTTGGAAACAATTACTTCCTTGGAACATTAAATGGTAAAATGATAATATTCCGTCCTCTCCTACCAAAGGGGAAAAGTTGAAGGAAGTAGCTTTGGTTTAGCCACAAATTCAGTAGGGGAAAATTAAAGTTGCTATATTTCCATAGTGTAAAGACAAGTGTTCAATCACCTAACTCAACCGACTAAAAGCCGCCTAGATCTGAAATCGCCTTGACTTAGGGGTTAAAATCACTTTGACCTTGGTCTATTTTTACAACATTGTAACTTACATATAAAAAAAAAAAATTAATATATAAAAACTCACTATTAACTTAGACTTTCGCCTTGACCTAGGGGCTCCAATGTAGGACAGCTATGTCGTTATTTAATTATTGCTCGTTAAATTTTATTCCTAGAACGATTAATTTACATGCTCATACACTAGCATCTTTAGCATTTGATCAGGATCACTCTATGTACTGGGACTCGATCCCACCTTATTCTATTATTATGTTCGTTCAGTAATGAAGCACAAATATTTTTTCTTCAAAAAAAATTTTAGACTTTTAGTTGAAACGGACACATTGATACATACCATTGCAGTTCTGCTTCTCGTCATAATGTTAGGCGTCACACGGCATTTGTTATTCACCATACCCAGGAGGCTCGACTCCTAGTAGTTACAAATTATAAATTAAAATGTATTACTCCATACATTTATCAACGGAATGATCAATGAAAATGAAGGTTAATGTTGCGCAATGCTTGAGGACCTCCATATTCATGCGAACGTCATCCAAACTCCTGGAAATAATCAATCATAGTTTAAACAAATGTTAGCGTTAAATCTTCCTTTGATCGAATAAATTATGTCCTGTTTGGTAAAATAGTTAGCCTATAGGTCAATTTTAGCTTATTTGATCACTATTAGTTGTTTGACTTGGTTTAAAAATCAATATAAGTGTTTGGTTAATTAGCTTTTTGTACGTACCAAAATGCTAAAATTCAAAAAGCTACTCAAAGTAACTTTTTCAATTAGCTTTTTGAGAAAAGAAATTATACCAAACAGCTATCAGCTAACAGCTAATTTATCAAACACCTTTCTACAATCAGCTAATGTTATCAACTAGTTATACCCTTTAATTAACTCAATCCACTGCTGAAAATCAACAGATTTCCGACCATCCAAAAGTGATCGGAAACGGCCTTAATCGGGTCAGAATCATGGTTTCCAACTACTTTTCCGGCCAAAATGGAGATCCGGAAAAAGCCCCGTCGCTAATTCCGACCACCAGAGACAGTGGTTGGAAACAACGACCACATTTTTATAATCATCGGAAACAAACGACAAGTCCAATAATTGGACGGATCCAGATTTCCGACCACAGGGTGGTCGGAAAGTCCGACGATCGGGCGGTCAAATCTAACAGATCAAACAGATCAAATTAAATAAAAAGGTGTAGGTGATCTAGATTCAAACTGACAAGTAAGACTAGAAAAGCAATGGTGGACACCATCAGGCCAATCCAAGCAATTAACACAGGAAACAGATCGAAGCATATTTCAATTCATGAAATGGAAAACCAATCAAATAACCACATTAACATTCACATAATTTAACAAAAAAACAGAACACATAATTAGCAGTAGTATTCCAAACTTTCATAACTAGTCATTCATATATATTTTCATTGTAATTAATCCCCTAAAATGTCTGAACTAAACATACTTTTAATTATTTCTCAAGTTAGTCAAGTCCATATAGTTTCTGCTCTAATATAATCTGCATTCTAAATATCAGGATAGGCGGTATTCTTACTACTATATTTGGATGTTGGCACAAGTATATTAAGGAGTATACTTTTTAAAACAAGTAAAACTGTTTTACTAGGCCTACACTTTTATTGCTAGGAAAAGTTGTAGTATCTTACATTTACATGTTCGGCCTTTTTGCAAACAAACTCATTTGTCTTTTTACGTTTGTGAGTTGCTTGGAACAACACTGTATGCGAGGGCTCTTCTCCAAGCCTTTCTTTCTATCCAAGAACAATAAACCAAATATTAATGTTGTTGTTTAACTATAAACTGTATTTAAATAGTAGTAAATGACTTACTAATCTTCTCCTATGCTTAGAAATGGGGACTGAACCTGCAGTGTGCAGTGATGGTCCCAATCCCCCGCAATTCGAATTTCTATTTCTTTTATTCTTCGCATGCATCAGTCTTCTTAAACTCCTCCGTATTCCAAATGCTGCGGTATTAGGCCAAAACCTGATCATTCATCCAATTTGGTGGTGCATCGCCTCTTGCCAAATTGACGGAACATCATTTGGTGAGGCTGATATTGTTCGCTTTGAATCACTATTTCGGCTGGACTGTGGGAAAGTATTTGATGGTGGACTTGGTAGTTGATTTCTTTCAGAGTCAGATATTGGTGGTTGGGACATCAACGTTGTATTCATTTTGGCTTGCACGTTGAGACATGTTCTGCTTAAAATCCAAAGAAAGTTAGTGGTGTAAAATAAATAATTAGCATAAATGTAACCTATATATCGAGACGTGCACTAGGCGTGTCTTTATTTTTAGCTATGTCTTTGACATCCATAACCATGTGGAAGATGTTATCAAACACATTTTTCTCTATATGCATCACATCAAGATTATGACGTAGCAAATTATCCTTCTAATAAGGCAAATCCCAAAATATGCTCTTTTTTTTTTTTTTCCAATTGTGTGCTTGTCCAAACCCCTCAATGCGACCAATTGGACCATCAATAATCCTTGGGATATTTTCTAAACTATGAAACAACTCGTCTCCTATCCAAATTGGTTGAGGTCTCAACTCGTTGTTTGACGAAGGTATCTCGAATCTTCCTCCATGGGTGATTCATTGGAAGGAATTGACGGTGACAATCAAACCAATATGTTTTATGTCCATTCTTCAAATAAAATGATTTAGAATACTGAAGACAATAAGGACATGCTAGTTTCCCGGCTATCTGTCATCCAGATAACATACCGTATGCAGGAAAGTCATTGATGGTCCACATTAACGCAGCGCGCATCATAAAATTTTGTTTAAGTGATGCATAAGTTAAGACACATGTTTCTCATAACAATTGAAGTTCATCGATTAAAGTCGCAGATAGACATCAATATTGGCCTTTGGTTTCTTCGGTCCAGGAATAATACAGGTTAAGAATGTATATGGTGTAGTCATAGACATTGAAGGTGGCAGATTATACGGAACAACCATAACAGGCCAACAAGAGTACGGCTTTGCACTGAAACCAGAAGGAAAAAATCCATCAGAACATAAGCCTAGTCTTACATTTCGAGGATCTGCTGAGAAATCAGGGAACCTTCTATCAAAGTGCTTCCATGCTTCACCATCATAGGATAACACATAATACCAGGTTCGTGGCGATTTTCATAATGCCATCGCATGTGTGAAGCAGAGCTATGTGATGCATACAGACGTTGCAATCGAGGAATGAGAGGAAGGTAATGCATTCTTTTGCGAGGCACCTCTTTTGCACGAGTAGATCAAGATGGGCAAGGTTTAAATCTTGTCTCACCACAAAACTTACAGTGCTTGTCATTTATTTCAGACTTATAGTACAACATACAACTGTTTACACAACAATCAATCTTCTCATGTCTAAGACCAAGCTTTGTAAGTAATTTTTTTGCATCATAATACCTGGTAGGTACTTGATTATCGGGACCCATCAACTGGTTAATATACTGAAATATCTGACCCATTGCTAGTTGCGGTATATTAAAATTTGTCTTGATATTCATTATCCTCAATGTATATGCCAGCTCCGTTTCTTCATTAACATTCATTGATAAAGGTTGTCTCGCAACATTTAACAAATCATAGAAGTTTCTTGCACTACTATGTGGTTCTTCATCTTGGTCATTTCCAACATTTAATGGAAAAAATGATGGACCAGATACATCAAAAACTATTTGTTCATACTGGTTATTTTCACTAGGGCCCTCATTCATATGTGGTTGTATTGAAGGTGAAAGCTCACCGTGACATGTCCAAATCCAATAATTTGGTTCAAAACCCTTCCTATACAAATGAACACGAACATCATCTGCAGACAAGTGTACTCTATTCTTACACTTACTACATGGGCACCTAATCCTCATTGAATCCTTGTATACAAGAGTGTGCTTGCATAATTTAAATTCCTCAACACCCAATAAGAACTCATCAGTGTAACCCCTTTTTCCAGGTAAAAATCGGTTATACATCCATTTCCGATGTTCAGGTATATTAGCCATGTAAAACAACTGGAAACACATATATATAGTGCAAACACATATACAAATATATTAAAAATAATACTAATATTTTAAATAATCATATACACTCATAATAATAAAATAGACACATATAAAATGTAATTTTTAAAAAGTACAAATATATAAATAATTATAAACATACTCACATACATACACATATACATATTATGCACATTATACGTTCTTCAATCATATTAAAATAAATAATCTAAATAAGTATTCACAAAAATATATTAAAAAAATCAAACTAGATCTAAAAAAATTCATACTAGTAAATACACACACATATAATATGTAATTTTAAAAAAGTAAAAATATACAAATAATTATAAACATATTCACATACATACTGATAGTGTAAATTCCACGTAATGCGGTCAAAGAAGTCAACACGATCAAATCAAAAGCAAGTAAAGTCTTTATTAATCGAGTGAAGGACATAATACAATCTAAAATGGATATTCCGAGGGCCGACTGACTGCGGTCGGGCTGCTCTGTAAATAGCCTATCGATCGTTCCAAAAGCCCCTCACACCGTTGCCGCCGCGGGTATTTATAGCCGCTAGGCCGGAGACACAATTCCGACCGGCCGGC